GGATGGGGTGTAGAGAGGGTCAGCCCCAGGGGTAGGGGGTAGAGAGGATCAGTCCCAGGGGTAGGGGGTGATGGGTGAGGTTGTGTAAAGTGTGAAATGATCCCGGATGTTTCTGACTTTCCCACGATGCAGGTGCAGATCGCTTCATCGATGACATTGCTCGGATGATCGGTTATCGCCCGTTACCCTGGATCAAGTGGTGCTGGCTGTTTATCACCCCCTGTGTCTGTGTGGTGAGTGACCCAGAACCTCAGAGCTTCAGGTTGTCCATTTTCCATGAAACGTTGGGGGTCATTCCCTACTGGGGTTGGTGGGGGAGGAGGGGAGAGTCCTGGGTGGGGTTTGGTAAATACAGACCTAAGGCTGCTTCTTCCCAATTACAGGGCTCCTGGTCACCCTGGGTGTTGTGAACTGTTCTAGTCTCCATATTATCCAACTGGAAGATTTAAGAGGCTGATAACCACAGGATTAAATGTGACGTAGTGTAATTCTTGATTTTCTAGATGATTAATCCAAAAACTAGATGATGTTTACCTCCAAATTTGGCTCTTCAAATTTTAGAAGCAAGACTTTTAAGGGAGAGTTTGACCCAGTGAGTAATCCCAGTTGGTTAACAGATAAAATAATGTAATCTATAACTCCTTTACCAATATTCTTAAGGCTAGTCTTTCTTTGTCTCACCTGTGCTGTCATCCTGAAAGCCACTTGAGTGAAGGATGCAACTGGAGCCAATATTCACAGGTTGTTTTATTCAGTTACACATGATAAGCATACACTTCCTAAACCAACAACTATTTACACCTTAGTCCATTGTGTGGTTTCCATCTGCAAACAATTAAACACAATTACTATCCAATCACCGTTCCAAATAATTGTTTGGTTGTATAGAACTTCAGTATGACTGAATAAATGTACATTTTTATCGAAGATTGTTGTCTTGCCTTCACCAGGACATTTCACAAGAATACCAACCCAATACTCCTAACAGTCTCCTTGAGTAGAGAGTTCTGATTGGCTGACAAATAGAATCATTTCTCAGGCAATTCTCAATCAGAGGCAAGTCGCCTAATTTAAAATGTAAACAAATCCTGGCAGTTAACTGTCAATTCGCATTAATGGGTGCCTTTCCCATGGCAATGCTTCTAATAATCAGTCTAATTGCCAACCAATCAGTATCCTGCTGTCATGCAGCACAAATGTTGGTTTTCCCTTAGAATCACTATTCTTGTGAATGGTCCTGATGGAAGCAATATGAAAAGCTTCAACAAGATGTGACATTTTTCAGCTATACTCAATTAATTTTCCAATTTTGGAAGTTACTTCTGGATCGTAGAATCCCTACAGTGCGGAAGCAAGCCATTCTGCCCATTGAGTCCACTCTGACCCTCTGAAGAGCATTCCAACCAGACCAATCCCCATCCCCATCCTCCCTACCTATCCCTGTGACCCTGCATTTCACTTGGCTATCCCACCCAAACTGCACATCCCTGACCACTACAGGCAATTTAGCATGGCCATTCCACCTAACCTGCACATCTTTGGACTGTGGGAGGAAACCGGAGCACCCGGAGGAAACCCACACAGACACGGGGAGAATGTGCAAACTCCACAGTCGCCCAAGGCTGGAATCGAACCCGGGTCCCTGGTGCTACTGCTCCAATTTATGTGTTCCTACCTGCACAAGCTCCTTCTTGTATTTTGTCCCGGTGTTGGTTCATTACCTCCTATTCCCAATCAGCTGGGATTTTGCTTTGCACAGCCTGCTATCCTGATGCAGCAAACCTTGAGCCACGACCCGCACCACCGACCAACTGGGTTTCTCAGCAAACGCGACGGTGCAAAGTTAGAGAGGTATTAGCATTAAGTATTTGTAGGTATGGTTTGATAGTCAGCATTCCTGTCTTAGGTCCAGCAGCAGCGTGAGCCTGTTGTCTAAACTGATATTCCCAGTGCCTGACTGAGAGAGTGCTGCACTGTCAGGGGGAGCGCTGCCCTGTCAGAGGGAGAGCTGCAGTGTCAGGGGGAGTGCTGCACTGTCAGGGGGAGTGCTGCACTGTCAGAGGGAGCGCTGCAGTGTCAGAGGGAGCGCTGCAGTGTCAGGGGGAGCGCTGCAGTGTCAGAGGGAGTGCTGCAGTGTCAGGGGGAGCGCTGCAGTGTCAGAGGGAGTGCTGCA